TGAAGTTACTAACGTGTGTATTTTGTTATTAGAAAGAGATATGAGGCATCCAAGTAAGTGCTTTAATGGTTTAATTGATATTTTGATATAGAAATCATGCTTAGGTTATTTATTTATTCCTAGTATCATGTTTAGGATGTTCTTAGTATCATGTTAGGATGTTTTCTTTAGTATGATATTTAGGGTGATTTGCTTATATCAATTATGATTTCTATGATGCTTCATATTTTCTTTCCTAATAGCATGTTAGTATCATGTTAGGGCTATATATTTGATTTTTAGTGACATGTTAGGGTTTGTTATTAATCTTGTTAGTATCATGCCTAGGATCTTGCTATTAATATTATGCTTTAACATGATTATTTTAATTATTATTATTTATTATTATTATTATTTTATGAATATCATGTTGCTTGATATTATATTTATTTTTATTGCTTGATCACACCTTTTATGCATGTTTAAAGGGAATTTGTACTTGTAATCACGCTTAATAAGATAATTAATAATCTTGTTTAGGGTTAATTTAATTATAATTCAAGTGATCGCCAATAATAGTTTTGTTTGTGCATTAATATTCAACCAACATAGATAAACGGGTTCAAGGTTAATCCTATTGATTGCATGTTAGTTAGAAAGCGCACATGAATACGAGAATAATAAAGTAGAGGCCTATTATTAGGGAAGGTTCAATCTCTTTTAGGTTGGATTTGTACCTTCATCCCCGAACTACCAGTCATGGATCCAGACCTATTGGAGTTAACAATCTCCTGGATCGTTAAGTGGTGTAACCTTCACCTCGTCAACAGTTTACAAGTTCCTAAAACTTGTTGGCGACTCTTTTTCTCTATCTTCCTTCCCTTTGGACTCCACCGTACTTTAGTGTATGATCAGAGTGGGGTTCAAGCTAGGGGTAATGCTTGAAATATTCCCTACAGGGCTGGTCTTCTAGTTTTTTTTTTTTGGGTTTTTTTGGACCAATCAGGACTTGACACGTGTCAAGCGACCTGATATAATAGGTCATTGACTTTTGTTGACTGGTTTGGGATTGAAGAAACAAAACACCCCCAATGTTGGGATTATTGTAGAATAATCCAAAGTTTGGATTATTAAAACAAAACGAATTAAAGTTGGGATTATTATTTCTAAATTTTCCTTTATAAAACTAATTGTTTTTGGTTTTCACTCTTTTTTACATAAATACTCAACACATAGCAGCCCTTTTATTTGCTTAACCACAAATTTTAACACCGTGAGTTATATGTCTAAATCCTCTTCCTCAATGTATGAGTGCGTCAGAGTTGCAAACAACCCCTATTCATAAAAAGATGTGTTGGAGACCATGCAAACAGAGATAATTAAAAAGGGGTTAAATGAAGTAGAGATGATAATTTTACAGGATTGGGCGGGAAACGGGCTGGACTACTTAAAGTTCATATATTTTCCAACGGGCTTAATATAGCAAACTCAAGCCCCTTTTATGCGGGATTGACAATTTGTTCATACCCTCCCTAGCAAACGGTCTAGGTTTGTCCGTAAGCTAACGGACATAGAGCTTCTAAGAGTACTCATACAATGAGGAAGATGATTAGGACACATAACTCATGATGTTAGAATTGTGTTTAAGCAAATAAGAGGACTGCTATGTGTTGAGTATTTATGCAAAAAAGGGTGAGAATCAAAATTAACAGCTAGTTTCCTAAATTTCAAACTAGTCGTTGCACCTCAAAAAAATAGAGGTATTTTTTGTAATTATTTACTAATTTAGGGCATTTGGTGAATTATTTAAAAAATTTAGGGCATTTGATGAATTAAATTTTATTGCTAACGGACCTTTAACGTCAGGGGTATTTTGAGGTCACGATGTGAATAATAATTAACGTCGGCGGTATTTGATGAATTTTTGGTGAATTTTGCAAAAGGTCAAGGGCATTTGGTGAAAAAACCAAAACAATAATAATAAAATAAACGACTATTTCACCAAATGTCACTAAGTACTTTAAAAATTCACCAAATGCCATCGGATTTTTCAAAATTCACCAAATGCTACTGACAAACATTATATTGTCATGGCCTGGCGAGCCATTAATGAGGTATGGTCGTTCACTTTCCCTTACTACAATTCTTAATTCACCAAATGCCACTGACTACTTTTGAATTTTCATGAAATGCCATTATTTGTATAAATTATTACACAATATACCTATGACCTAATGATTTATAACGACCAGTTAGTTTCACCTTTTTTGAATTTATTTGGGGTAATCTAGCCGTTACACCCAATTTGTTGTATAAATTTGAATGCACAGCTAAATTGTTATGCCATTCTAGTTTTTGAACAGTAGAAGTCAATAATATTGAATACTTTAGGGTATTTGAGACAAATTCATGGTGTTGCATTAATTAAACAATTTATAAGAACAAATCAAGGAGTAGTAAACTCCATTAACGCAGCTTGTTCGAACGCGAGAGTCAGGGTAGAACTCACTTAATTGTTGCCCGATCGAGCCATCACCACTTGATCGGGCGCGTATATATGCCAGGTTGAGAAAATCTGCTCCATCGTTCGATCGGGCCCGAGAGCTAATATTTTTTAAGAGGTTCTCTAGCCCGATGAGGCCCGAGTGATTTTTGGTAGCAAAAAATTTTGCATCAAACTAGTTTACAATAATTTATTATAAAACGGTGCCGCCATACGTGTGGGTTTTTTTTTAAAAAAAATCATATAAAACGTGAAAAGTGAGAAAAATGGAGGAGAGAGAAACTGAGAAATGCAGAAAAAAACACAACAATGGAGGAGAGAGAAAACATACCAATGGAAGAGAAAGAAAATGCAACAATGCAGGAGAGAGAAAATGCACCAATGGAAAAGTGAGAAAACGCAACAATGCAGGAGAGAGAAAACGCAACAATGTAGGAGAGAGAAAACGTAACAACACAGGAAAGGAAAATTTTGATTACCTTAGGGATTCGATCAATACAATCATCAATGGAGGATTTATTAGAAAACTTCAATTCATCAAATTGCAGTAATTTGATCCACGATTTTCTACAACAACAGAGGAAAATTCAAACACCATTGTTAGGTGATTTCGACGTAAATCGCATAATAATAGAAGATGAAACAAAGAATTTGGTTGAAGATAACATCAAAACTACTTGAATTGATGATGAACACAGAGAAGCAATTGATTTGAACGAGGATAGAGAAAGTATAAACACGAATCAGGACAATGTAGAAGAAAATCAAGTGGTTCCTCGTAAATCAATTGATTCAAATTCAGCACAAACATCCAAATCAAATCAAACTGAGGGTAATTTCGATACAATCAACCTTGGAATGAAACTGAATTTTTGAAGTTAATTTGCTAAAATGTTGAAGTTAATGTTGAAGTTACCTTGTTTAATACATAAAGCGGCACTACAAAATTAAGTCAATATAGCATACTAAAATTTATTGCTATTCACCAAAAATTCGTTGCTAAATCTATTTAGTAATGGGTGGGAAATGAAAATCTGTTGTTTCTAAAATGCTTATTGCCATGGGATTTTGGCTATCACTTTTAAAGCAATTTTGTTGCAATATTGCATTAATTTAAATAAAGTTTCCATGATGGCAGCTGCTTTTGGTGCATTTGTTGCCAACTTTGGCAACATTACCATTAGTTGTTGCTAAAATTAGCAACAAATTATTAATGTTAGTTCCTAAAATAGAAACAAATTATTAATATTGGTTCCTAAAAATAGCAAAAAAATATTAAAGTTGGCTCATAAAAATAGTAACAAATCATAAATATTGGTTACTATAAACACTACGAGACAAAAACCCAATCCCAATTATCAATTTAGTTCAACCCGATCACGACCTTTACCAATCTGAAATCTCACTCAAGTCAGGTCAACTTAGCTTGACTTTCCATGTAAGGCTCTTTGAATCCCCAGTCTCAAGAATCATAGTTGGTAGGATTCGAACTTGTGACCTCAAAGTCACATGGTGAATCTCTTACAAACAATACTAAATACTATTTGTTTCTTTCTATGCATATAATATAATTTATAAAAAGTGAACGAAATATTGGAGACGAAATTGAAAAATTTGTCTTTAAATTAGGGACAAAATCAAAAATCCGTCTCTAAATTAAAGACGAAATTGTAATCAGTCTCTATTTGATGTCATTATATCAACAAATAATAAGAAGAGTGTCTTCAAATAATTTTATACGTAATAGCAAAAAGTGGTCTACATATAAATTAACAACAAAATGTAACACTCAATGGTAACAAATAAAAAAATACGTTATCATATAGCAACAATAGTTTAGACGACTTGTTTTTAATGGCAACAATTCAAAAATTCACTGCCTTTGTTTGTTTCTAAATGCTCAATACAAATAAAATATTTGTTGCCATGTTTTTTAACTATATGACAACAAGAGAAAAATATGATGCCATCTAGTAACAACTCGTAAGACAATTTGTTTTAAACAACAACAAATAAAAAACATGTAGCCATTAATTATTAAATAACAAAAACATAAAATGTCGCTTCTAATTAGGAAATGAAAAAAATTATATTCGTTGCTATTTAGCAACGTTTCAAAAATCTGTTGCCAAACTCAGTTTCTAAAAAACTTTTGTAGTGTTAAGTGACCCCTTTTACAGCATAAAGTGACCCTTTTTTATTGCATAAAGTGACTCTTTTTGATGCATAAAGTAACAGTAATAAGTTACACATTTTAGTTTGAAAAGTTACCCTGTTTAATACATAAAGTTACCCTTTTTACTGCATAAAGTGACCCTTTTTAATGCATAAAGTGACCCTCTAATTTTTAATGTAGGCGCTTCCAAATACAAGGCATAGACTTTATATTTGGTATTTGGAACAAAATGCAATAACCAGATATGGGTCTCTAAAAGAAGACAAAGAGTTTAAGTATGCATTCAACCAGTGCTTAAAGTGGTGTGTGACATAACGGAAATTTGAAGAAAAGTGGCAGGCCATGATGCTGAAATATAACTTGACAGCACACTCTTGGTACAAAAGAGTGTACGGATTGAAAGAAAAATGGTGTCCTACCCTTAGTAGAGATTTCTTTTCAGCAGGAATCTTATCATCACAAAGGAGTGAAAGCACTAACCATGCTATAGGATTCAAAGCAAGTAAAGCAACTACATTGACAGAATTCTATACCATATTCAAGAAGACAACAAATCGTTGGAGAAGCAAAGAGAAACATGATGAATTTACCTGTAGCAAGTCAATAGCATTCACTTCATCGCCACTATCTAGAATGCTAAAGCATGATGCTCTGGTAAAGAGTTCACTCAAAAGTTCATATATAACACAAAACATATAACAGCTTAAATCTAGCTCATGATTTTTGTGGACAGGTATTCACTTTGTCACTCTTCCAAAACTTTGAAAAGGAGTTTGGATACTCTATGGCAACAACCTCTCAAATGATAGGGACAACTGAAGAATGCTTACTTTATAAAGTATCTCTAGAAGACAAGCCATGGTCTGCACATTAAGTAAACTATATACAAGAGAGCTAAAGTGTATGGTGTACTTGCAAAATTTTTGAAGCATCTGAATGGTTATGTTATCATTGCATCAAAATTCTACATCACCTACATTTAGTAACAAGAATACCAGAGAAGTATATTACCAAAAGATGGAATAAGTTTGCAAAAACAGAGACATGGAATAGGTTGAAGAGTCAGGATCCTACACAGCCATATATACCATGGAGGCAAACAATGATGAGGAAATACTACAATCTAATCTAAAAGACTCAAGAAAATGAAGCGACAAGAGCATTTATGGAAGACAACTTTAGAAATGGTCTAAAAATGATGGAAGACTTAATTGCTACTGCTGCTCAGAGAGTAGAAGGTGCAGAAGCTTCTTCTAACAATCTTGATGTGGCAGACATCACTCAGATCAATGATGTGTCTTTGGCATCCAATACAAGCACAAGTGTACCAATAATAATTGATCCTAAAAGAGATGTAACAAAAGGAAGAAGCAAGAGAGCAAAAGGATGACTTGAAAAAAGCAAGAGAAAAAGAAAACCATCACTACCACCTCCAGATTCAGAATGATTAGTATTATTGTTGTAGTTTCTGGCTAAAAACAAAAATATGTGTTTGCAGGTGTAAATGGAGGCTCCTCAAAAACATATAGAAACATTTCAGCAAGAGAATACTATGCATACAAGCTTCAATGCAGACCCAATAATATGTTGTTAAGAGGAGGAAGATGCTTTCAGCAATATATAGTGGATATGTATATAAAAGTGGAGAATACACGGTTAGATTTCTTTCGTAGAAATCAGCAGACTATAAGAGCAGATTTCTGTCAAGGAATCCTAGATATTATTGATTCTGGAGAAAACTGTGCAGCAAATGTGGGTCGTAAGGTCATCTTGCCCCCAACATTCATTGGTGGTCCTAGAGACCTTAAAAAGAGATACCTAAATGCAAGGTCATTAGTACATCGGTTTGGTAAGCCCGATCTATTAATTACAATGACTTGCAATTCTAATTGGCTTGAAATCAAACAAGAGCTTGTTATCGGGGAAAAGGCACAAGACATACCAGATATATAGTTGCAAGGATCTTTAGAGCAAAAGTTCTTGCTTTACAGAATCTAATAAAAAATGGTGTTTGGAGAGGTTGCAACAATGATCTATGTGATTGAATTCCAAAAGAGAGGTTTACCTCATGCTCATTTTTTAAGTCATTTTAAAGCAAGATGACAAGATCAAGTGCCCTATTGATTTTTGACAGATTCATTTGTGCTGAAATACCATCTATTGACAATAGTAATCTCAGGAAAGTTGTACTGAAGCACATGATGCATGGTCCATGTGGTATTTTGGATCCAGAATGTCCTTGGATGAAACATAAAGAAAGTCGTGGTCATTGTAAATATGGTTACCCAAAGGAGTTCTGTGATGAAACTAGGAATAGCAGTGATGGATATCCAGTGTAATGAAGAAGAGACACACAGGAGAAATTGTTACAATTCACAAAACTATTATGGATAATAAATGGATGATCCCATATAATCCATACCTTTCATCGTATTTTGATTGTTATTTAAATGTTGAAATTTGCTCTACTATAGAGGCGGTGAAGTACCTATATAAGTATGTTTATAAGGGTCATGAAAGAATATCCTTCAATATTGTTCAGTCCAAAGATGTTGTGCCTCTTAAAGATGAAAGAAAACAGTATTAATCATGTCGATGGGTTTCCCCCTGTGAGGCTGCATGCTTGGCGCCTTTTTGCTTTTGATATGTATGAAATGCACCCACCAATTTTGCCTTTTTCTATGCACTTGCCCAATTAATAGTTGATTCAACTTAGGCCCCATGAACATCTTATGTTAGTGATTTCAAATGATAGGCATTCTAGAACATGTCTTACAGTTCTTTCGAATGAATTCTAAGCTACCTTTTGGAACATGATTGTTATACAATGTTTTCAGAACATTATCATTGGGATGCATCTGACAAGCATTGGTATAAAAGAAAGAATAAGAAAATAGTCATTAGTCGGTTAGCATTTGTTGGGCCTTCAGAGGGAGAGAGATACTATCTCAGATTATTGTTGCACAATGTAAGGAGTCCTAAGTCATTTGAACATCTGCGTACAGTTAATGGTAATCTATACGACACTCTTCAACAGGCTGCTCTTAAATTATGATTTATGTTTAAGGGAAGGTTGTGTTGTTCAAATGCCACTTGCAATTCCCAAGCTGTTTGCTATTGTGCTTATATTTTGTCAGCCTAGTGATCCTATCTCTCTTTAGATAAAATATTTTAGTTTTCTATTTGAGGATTTTAGATATAAGTACAGTTTTGATTCACACAAAGTCAGACAGCTTACTGTTAAATTAGTAGAATGGGTTTTAGAATTAATGGGGAACTCTCTTGCTGTTTATGGATTAGACCATTTATTTGAACTTGATGATGATGAAATACGAAGAACAAAAGATATAGAGGATGCATTGAATTCTCTAATACCATAACAATGTTTGCAGTGTAAAGATCAATTGAATCAAGCTCAATGAGAGGCATTTAATGTCATAATGGTTCATGTTACAACACAAATGCCTAGAGCTTTTTTCATAGATGGCCCTGGTGGAACAGTAAAGAACTTTCTATATAATGCTTTGTACGCAGAAATAAGGCTTTACAACACAACGTGAAGCAGTTGCTACAAGCTTAGTTAGTTCAAATTTATTGCCGCTGTTAATTAAATTTAGATTTACATCATGTTAGACATCATCCAGCATATACAAATTTGTTTGCTGGCACTTGGAAATGGAGAGCTCTAGGACAGTGAGAATGCATTAATTCAATTGCCAGCAGAAATTATACAGCCTTATGATACTGCTACACCTCAGGATATGCATTTGACTTCAGTTGCCTTTCCAGAAATGGATATGCCACCATTTAGTGCAGATATATTTACCACTAGAGTTATACTAACACTAGTCAATGATGATGTTGATGTTATAAATACTATCTTGATAGACAAGTTCCCTGGTGATGCAGTAGCCTACAAAAGTTATGATTCAATGATCGATGATAATTGTTCCATCTTTCCCATTAAATTCCTGAATAAACTCTGTCCTGGTGGCATGAGTCCTCGTGAGTTGATATTAAAAGTTAATAGTCCAATTATTCTATTGCATAACATCCTACCATCAACGGGTCTTTGTAATAGAACACGGCTGATATGTAACAAGTTCTTTCCAAACCTCATTGAATGTGTTATTACAGTTGTCCTACATAAAGGAGAACATGTATTGATACCTAAAATTAATCTAAGAACATGAGAGTCATAAGCTTATCCTTTTAAGTTTCAAAGGAAGCAGTTCCCCGTAAAACTTAGCTTTGCGATGACTGTCAACAAAGCTTAGGGGCAAACACTGAACAAGGTTGTTGTCTATTTGCCACAATCATGCTTTTCACATGGGCAGCTCTATGTTGCACTTTCTCGAGCTAGGAAAGCATATAATGTTAGTGTTAAAACTGATATGGATACTGATCAACCAAATTTGGGTCATGTAAGAAATATTGTGTCCTATAATATTCTTTGTATGGCTGGCATCATCTTGCTACATACATTGGTGAGTTATCTTTTCCCATTTCTTCTTACTATAACTTTTGTTAGTCGAATACAGATTTTACTGAATTACAATAGTACGCTTCCCTATTGCAGACTACCCTATTCTACAACAAAGGTTTATTTTTAGACTTGCTCTCAATTATCAATCATCATTATTATTCTCATGCAAAAAATGGTATGCTATTTATTTATATTTGAGCTTTTTCAATGTATTAGTTTCAGTTTAGCAAAACTCTTACAGCATGCTAACAACTTTTGCTATATATTTATTTCTTATGGTCTCTTTTGTGTTGTACACAGGTTTTGCTGATCATATGCTTGCAGGAAAGGGAGAGGTCCTGCTGCTTTTGTTATGCATATATATATAATTCAGTGAATAATATAATATCTTCTCATCAACGCACTATTTATAATTGTAACAACCAAATAGTATGTTGTAATGTCTATTATTTGTTTAGATGCATATATTTGTATTTGACGGTTTGACATCAAGCCATCTAACACCTCCTCTTGATTCACCCAGTCATAGTCATCGTCACTATTCTAGAATAGCTTCAACCTTTTAAGTCTCAATTTCTCTAATATATTTGCAGCTTTAGCATCTTTCTTGCTCTTGATTACCTCAAGGTTGCAAATAAATAAAGAGCCACTCACATGAGGAAAATATCCCAATTAAGAGATCTGGAACCCTCCATCTCTATTAATATCGATGTAGAAGATGGGACTGATTGGCAGAAAGAGGTGATCAACCAAATACTGATGGACAAGAAACTTATGAAAGGTGAGATTAGCACACTCAAAGGAGAAGTAGAAGACTTAAGTGGACAAAGATGATGCTTGTTAACTGCGAACAACAATCTGAAAGTGAAGTGCAAAGCACTAAGTGCAGACAAGAAAAAATACAGTAGGGAAGGAAAGCAGATCAGTGTTGGGGTTGGGTTGGGTTTGTTGTTATTATTGCCACATGTTGTGTTGTGATGATGGTAGGAATGTTACTTATGCTTAAATAAGTTAGTTATAAAGGGTAGTATGTGGTAGTATGTAACTGTGCTTAAAGTATTTGGAAGTTTGAAGTTGTAAGAATTTCAAATATGAATGAAATGCAATTCTGACTTTTATGAGACATGAAACAGAATTTCATAACCATTGCAATGTTAAGTGTATGTCTGTAGACATGAAACCTGACACTTTTATGAGACATGAAAGTTTAGTGTTGCAGATAGTTTTAATTTCTTTTTTCTTCTCTCTGTTTTTGAAAACCTATTTTATGAAAACATCCAATCCAGTTAGGTTGGTCCGTGATATGAGTCTAATAGTAGTGTAATTTTATAGGGTTTGAAAAGAGCTTTCCAACGATATATTATAAGCCCAATTCCGATGAATATTGA